GTGCACCAGGCCTCTAGTATTAAATATAATTTAAAATCTATGTTTGATAATTCTAATATATGGAGGGCCTGTGAGACTCTCTTTGTTGTTAAAACAGCTTTTAATCTTATCTTCTTGTCTCATATGCCTCATTGTCTTTAAATGTCTGCTGAAAATTTGTTTAAAAAAATCATCTGAGATCAAGAATGTCTTCCAGAAAGGATTTTTTTTTTTTTTTTTTTTTTTTTTTTTTTTTTTTTTTTGTGGCATCTCCTTGAGGGAATCCAAGATTACTTAGTCTAATCTCCACTTTTGAGATTTTTTTTCTGGGCCAATCAGATGACTCAAGGCCAGGTTGCACTCAGTGTATGGCCTGATTAATTTCTGGTTTACCCCTATTTCTAAGGTGCAGCCCTTCAGGAAGAGGATTTTCCTTTTGTTCCTCTCTGCCTATCAGGCTGTCAGATACAGTTTAATCTCTTGTTTCTTATGAAATGCTTGGCTCACCTCTCTGAATTCCAGTCCTTTAATGGCTATGATGCAGTTTTGTAATCAAACCCATTAAAATTTAATAACTAGAAATCAAGGGGAGCCGTAGGGACCCCTAATAGTTTGCCAGAGATACAATTAAAGTTCCTCTTCCTAGCTTTCTCTAAAGCCAAAACCTCAGAAAAGCTTTAGCCATCCATTTTTCTGTTGCCAGCTCTGCCTTAGGTACTAGAGGTGCCTGACTGGGAAGTAGAACCGGGTGGTTCAGGCAGTCAGGTGAATTTTCTCTTCGTATCTAGCAACAGAAACTTCATTTGCTGAAATTTCAGATAGTAACGATATATAAATGGCTGCATTCTTTTTTGTGATCTTATGTTCATGCTGCCTTCTTTAAACCTTTCACAATTTGAATTTTACCTCTTTTTCCTTTTTAGGACAGTGTCTTCAGCCTTTGCTTCAAGTTTTTTTTTTGTTTGTTTTGTTTTGGTTTTTTTTTTATCATGAATTATCACATGTCAAACTGGACAACTCTTCATAGTTAAAGTTTCACCAGTTGACAAATTGGAGGTAAGGAGTATATATGTCTGTTCTTGTATTCCTGTAATATATTAAAAACTTTTTTGAAAACTAATCCTTGTTGTTACTGATATCACCTCACTCCATTATCCTCATCCCTTTTCGTGTATTTAAGAGCAGGGAAAAGATGTTCAGGTGATTTTATGCTTTAGGTTTAGGCCCTAAATCAAGACTCTAAGCAAGTTGTTTGTACAACTAATTTGTTATTATAATAGAAAGCTCAGTAGCAAATGGAAGGGTAACTAAGGAGTTGATTTTGAATAAAGGACACTAATCAATCCTAGCTAGGTCACAGATCCCCAGTGGGTGGAGCTGGTGGAGCTTGAAAGACTTGCCCTATGGGGTAACTGGGTGTGCATGCAAATGCTGGTCTTCCAACTTCCTAGTTTTTAATGTAATTTTTCTTATTCTTAGATATGTGTTCAATAACTGAGTTGTATAAATAATAAATATGGTATTATGAACAAATCAGGGTATAATTTTTTTAATGTAGCATAATTCTTTCTTTGAGCCAAGAAAGGCTATTTAGCAATATCAGCTTTGATTTTTAGATAGCTTGTTTTGCCACCTTATAAAGACGTTACTACTCTTTTTAACAGCTGTTTCCTAGTATAAAAACGTACGTGGGTGTGTGTTTTAACATAAACACTGGAAAAGATGTTATGAGGCCTGTTTTATAATCTTGGCTTTTAAGCAAGTTTTTAAATCTCTTTATAGCCTTCAGTTACCTTATGTAAAACAAGATTGAGTTCGGAGAAAGCCTTGGCACTATTGACATTTGGGCCAGATAATTAGTTGTCAGGGGCTGTCTTGTGCACTGTAGGATATTTTACATTGTCCTTGGCCTCTGCCCACTAATTGCCAGTAGCGTCCCTCCCCAGTAATGACAACCAAAAATGCCACCAGACATTGACAAATGTGCCTTGCAGGACAGAATCAACCCCAGTTCAGAACTCCTGGATTAGATGATGTGTAGAGTTTCTTCCAGTTTTATAATTTTACTAGAGGCCCGGTGCACGAATTTGTGCATGGCTGGGGTTCCTTGGGGTGGCCACAGACCCCCAGCCTTGTAGCTCCTCCTGGCACCCCATCTTGGCCTGGCACTGCCCCCTCACCTGCTCCACCATCCTGCCTGCGGGGTAAATGATGGGCCCGCCCAACTCCCTCAACACCTGGGAGCTGGGCAGTGACAGCAGCAACACCCCCCACTGCTGCTGCTGGTCACAGTCTGCAGGGCGATTTGGGCCCCTGCTCACACCCTTCTTGGCCTGGCGCTGCCTGCTCACCTGGTTTACCATCCTGCGGTCCTGCTCTTGCTGGGGCCCATCAAGGCCAACAGCGCCTCAACTGCTGCCAGCGCCACGTCATCAACGCCCGCCATGTTCTGTGCCACCCCTGGTGGTCAATGCATGTCATAGTGAGCAGTCGAACTCCCTGTTTGAACGATTGCCTGAGGGGACAATTTGCATATTAGGCTTTTATTATATAGAATATTTTTTATTTTTTTTCTTTGCACCCAGCTTAAATATCATCTCTTCCATGAACCTTTCCTCAGTGCTCATTTTCCTTGTCCTAACTTAATTATTTCTTCTTCTGAAAATGCATTATAGGACTAAACCCTACTCTACTATGAATAAGGGATTCAGGAGTATTGTCAGGCTAGATATTGTTAAAGAAATTATTATCAGTGGCATTTTTGCAAATCTTTTATACCCTTACAGTAGGCTACAATTTGTGATCTTGAATCTGTAGGTTAATGACACTAATAACTCGTTTTTTAAAATCATTTAGAAGGCAGGAACCTCTAATAGAATGCGAGGGAGCTGCACAAAACACAGTGAGGCTGCATTTGGAAAACGTCACATAAAAATTTATAACAGCCCAGCCAGAGTTGCTCAGTGGTTGAGGGTCAATCAGGAGATCATGATTCAATTCTCAGTCAGGACAAATGCCCAGGTTGCCAGCTCGATCCCCAGTAGGGGGACATGCAGGAGTCAGCTAATCAGTGGTTCTTTCTCATCACTGATGTTTTCATATCTCTCTCCTTCTCCCCCTTCCTCTCTGAAGTCAATAAAATATATTTTAAAGTATTTTATAACAGAATTGCTTCAACTTTCATATCCAGAAGTTTCTTAAATAACTCCATTTTGTTAATTCAAAACTGCTATCCAGATAAAAGGAAAAAGGTTTTTTCTCACGTAACCTAGACTACCTCACCATATTCTAAGTCAGTGTCTTGCAAAGCAATCCATAGCAAGAAACACATAATCATGATCTAAAACACATACATCCCTCAGACAAGTTTTTTTTAAATCATATTTACCGTTACTATGTGTGAAACACTATAATATATTGTTATATTTATTATTTTAAAAAAATACTTGTCATCACCCTATAAACTTATTATATAATTTATTTAGAGGTCACAACCCACCATTTGAAAACCAGTGTTCTAAGTAATTTCTTTATTTAAGTAATAAAATGTGGAGATGATCTGCTTCTGGCACATGTTTCCAACAGTCTATCCTGTCTTTTTTTTAATAATATCATTTAATAATTGACCAGACAACCAGAACAAATTAGTTTTTCAATTATTTAAAAGTCCTACAAAATATTTAATGTGCACAAGGCACTATAGCTGAAAGGGCATGTTTGGTTTTCATTCTCAAGATTTATAGTGATAAAATCTAGAGGAGAATTAAAAATTAATAAACAGTATTTCAAGTGCTGAAAGTGATAACAACACACCATGACTTTTAATAGGCATTTAAGAAGTGTAGAAAGATTGAAAATTTGATGGTAGAGGTTAACATTGAATGTGGGGTGGATTTTGCATTGTCATCTGTTAGAAGATTGGAAAAAGCAATTACATATGATAGTAGACAGCATTCATGTAGGTGCACAGTACTTCTTGCTCATGCTTGAAGTTCATTTATCGGATAATGTTTAAGGTAAAGTAATAGGAATTAAGATTAAAAGAAGAATAAAGTGCTGAAATTATACAGTATAAACAAGATATGTTATTTTAGCTCTACTGTGGTTATAAAATGAAGTGGAGTTAGGAGATTAATTAGAAACTTGTATATATGATGGCTCTGCTATAAAGCCAATATTTGCCCTAAAATTATAAAGTTAACATTGAATTACTACGTTTACCGGGAATGAAGGTAGTTTCTAAATGATGGGGGGAGAGAATGCTCAATTGTCAAAATAACCCAATAAAAGTGTTACTATTCTATATATAATTATTCTTCATAGAACAAAAATGGGTTATATAATAGTATTTTTAGAAAAGTGATATGCTATTTTAGCTATGCAATAGAAAATGTTATAGTTGCTTGGTTGGCCCAGGCTCATCCTTTCTTTAAAAAGAATTGAGGTGCTTAGGATGGTAAGTCACAATCAGATGTGCTGCATAAGTCTTAAGAAAATGAGTGGGGGATTCTCTTATTTTTTAATATATATCTTTATTGATTTCAGAGAGGAGGGGAAAGGGAAAGAGAGATAGAAACATCAACGATGAGAAAGAATAATTGATTGGCTGCCTTCTACATGTCCCCTATTGGGGATCAGGCCCGAAACCCAGGCATGTGCCCTTGACCAGAATTGAACCTGGGATCCTTTAGTCCACAGGCTGACACTCTATCCACTGAGCCAAATCAGCTAGGGCTGGACTATCTTTTTGTCTTTTTAACTGCTGCTTTAGAAGATATTTGTGACCTAAAGGAAAAGAAGATTCAGCTTGTGACGATAATTGGGGAAGAATCACCTGCCCTAAAAAGTGTGGTGTAGCATTTTGTCTCCTATTACTTTAAAGTATCAGAGGTTTATGAATTCTTGTCATTCTTCCATGTTGACTTTGGAAGTTAGCAGAATAATAACTGTCTCATTTTGTTAGACTTCCAGACTACTGAAAAGAAGGTGCTTTCAGAACTGGAGATGTGAATAAGACGCCTATGCCAGGGTTCATGAACCACCTTGAGGTAATTAAAAAAAATTTTATATATATTTTATTTTTCAGAGCAGTTTTAATTTTACAGATAAATTGAGAAGGTAATACAGGGAGTTCACATATACCCTGTGCCCCATTTCCTTTCTTATCAGTAGCTTACGTTAGCATGGTACATTTGTTAAAATTAATTGAACAGTATTGAAACATTATTATTAATTAAAGTTCATATTTCAGTTAATTCACATTTCCTTTGTTTTTACATAATGTGTTTTCTGTTTCATGTCTCCTAAGGCTCCTCTTAGTTGTGACCGTTTCTCAGACTTCCCTTGTTTTGATGACCTTGTCAGGTTTTGTGTGTGTGTGTTTTAATACGTGTATTTTTAAAATTTTCTATTAAATCTTTATTGTTGAAAGTATTACATATGTCATCATTTTCTCCCCATTGACCCTTTATAGCCTGCTCCCACCCCTTGCCCAGACCTTCACCACCCTATTGTCTGTGTCCATGGGTTATGCATATATGCATACAAGGTCTTTGCTTGATCTCTTTCCATCTAGCCACCCATTCCCTCTGAGATTCAACAATCTGTTCCATGCTTCTATGTCTCTGGATCTGTTGTGTTCATCAGTTTATTTTGTTTATTAGATTCCACATATGAGTGAGATCATGTGATACTTATTTTTCTCAGACTGGCTTATTTCTCTTAGCATAATATTCTCCAGGTCCCTTGCTATCTCAACGGGTGCTAGATCCTTCTTTTTAACTGCTGCATAGTATTCCATGTTATAAATGTACCACACCTTTTTTATCCATTCATCTATTGATGGGCACTTGGGCTATTTTCAGATCTTAGCTATTGTAAATTGTGCTGCTATGAACATAGGGGTGCATACATTCTTTCTGATTGGTGTTTTGGGTTTCTTACTGATCCTAAAAGTAATATCATTGGGCCAAATGCAGTTCCATATTTTAATTTTTTGAGGAAACTTCATTGTTTTCCACAGTGGCTGCACCCATCTGCATTCCCACCAGCAGTGCACTAGGGTTTCCTATCCTCCACATCCTCTCCAGGACTAACCTCTGAATCAAACCAACTAGGCCTTGACAATGCTTTTGATGATTCTTTTAATGTGAATATTGTTTTGGTTCATGTATATCTCTTGAAAATATAAAACAATATGAAATAGATGCAGCATTTATGTGACTGTTTGGATTCCACTGTAATGAAAACCATATAGGATGATTGTTTTAGAAATTATTTGGGGAAAAACCAAGATAGCGGTATAGGTGAACACTTGAACTTGCTGCCTCACACATCCACTTCAAAACTACAACTAAAAGACAAAACAGACATCATCCAGAACCACATGAAGGCTGACAGAGTGGAAATTCTACAACTAGAAGGCAAGAGAAAAACACACTGAGACTCAGAGGAGGTGCAGAAGTAAAGTGCAGAGGAATGGAGGCACAAGAGGAAAGGACTGGCAACTGAGGACTCAGTTATCTTTTTAAATGATGAGGGAGATACAAGCTCCCAGCTGCTCTGTACTCCAGTTCCAGGCGAGACTCTGGGGACCTAGACTTATATGGGGGGAAACTGGACTGTCTGGCATCTGGCCATTACACAAGGGCAGCTTTTTCTCAGAGGTGTTTGCGGGGATTACCACAAGACACTGCGACCCGGAAGCAACTAAAGGCAGGGCTGAAGGTCAGTCACTGCTGTTTGCTCCGCCCTATTGATTCCCAGAGACTATGCCCCACCCAATTTACAACCCAACCCCAGCTGTATGCAGAGGCTTTTGTATATGAATGGCCTGTCCTGTCCTTTGGAATCTAAAATTCCCTAACAAACTGCAGCTGGGTCAGAGAGCCCCAGAACTTGCAAGGCTCCACAGCAGCTTGCATTGCTTCACAGCTGGGCCTCACCTGGGCACTTCCAAACCCCAAACAAAGAAGAGGAATCTACAGATCTCTCTGTACCTCCTGCTGGATGACCTCAGGCAGAGCTAAATTTGCACCTCCTTGGAGATCCAAGAGCCAATATACCCAATGGTCAGAGTGGGGCCCTCCAGATTACAACTCATCAGATCCATAAGGGACACACTCGGGGCAGACTCAGTGAGCACCAAAGCCCCACTGAAGCAAGTCCTGCCCCAAAAGGGTGTCTCGAGCACAGTTCTCCCATCATAGATACAGCTTATCCTAATAGCTAATTGGCCTGGAGGTGAGTTCCTCCCAGGGATAACAACAGTCAAGGCTTAACAACAACAAGACTGTGCACACAGCCCACAAAAGGGTGCACCAAGAGTGTCCACCTCCCAGGGATAACAACAGTCAAGGCTTAACAACAACAAGACTGTGCACACAGCCCACAAAAGGGAGCACCAAGAGTGTCCACCTCAGGTAACTGGGGAGGCTGAACCACTGGGCCCTATAGGACACCTATCAACACAGGGAATCAGCCAAAATTCAGAATCTAAGACATAGGTTGCAAGTGACAGAAATGGAGGAAAGCAAACTACTGGATATAGAGTTCAAATCCACTGTTATAAAGTTACTCAAGAATCTTCTAGAAACTTCTGATAAATGTAGTGATACTTCAAGGATATGAAAAAGGACCAATCAGAAATTAAGCATACACTGATTGAAATAAAGAATAATATACAGAGATCCAATAGCAGACTAGATGGTCACAAGGACCAAATCCAAGATTTGAAATACAAAGAAGCAAAAAACACCCAACCGGAAAAGAAAAAAGAATCCAAAAATATGAAGATAGTGTAAGAAGCCTCTGGGACAACTTCAAGCGTAGCAACATCAGAATTATGGGGATGCCAGAAGAGAGAGAGCAAAATATTGAAAATTTATTTGAAGAAATAATGACAGAAAACTTCCCCTACCTGGTGAAAGAAATAGACTTACAAGTCCAAGAAGCACAGAGAACCCTGAACAAAAGGAATCCAAAGAGGACCACACCAAGACACATCATAATTAAAATGCTAAGAGCAAAAGTCAAAAAGAATATTAAAAGCAGAAAGAGAAAAACAGTTACCTTCAAGGGAGTACCCATACAAATGTCAGCTGATTTCTCAACAGAAACTATGCAGGCTAAAAGGTAGTGGCAGAAATATTCAAAGTGATGAATAGCAAGAACCTACAACCAAAATTGCTCTACCCAGCAAAGCTATCATTCAGAAATGAAGGTCAGTTAAAGAGCTTCAAAGATAAAAAGCTAAAGGAGTTTATCATCGCCAAACCAGTATTATATGAAATGCTGAAGGATATTCTTTAAGAGGAAAAGAAGAAAAAGGTAAAGGTAAAAATTATGAAAAACAAATACATATCTATCAATAAGTGAATCTAAAAATCAAGTGAATAAAAAAATCTGAGGAACAGAATAAACTGGTGAATATCATAGAATCAGGCATAGAAAGGGAGTGACTGACAATTCTCAGAGGAAAGGGAGTGTGGGGGGGTGTGGGAAGAGACTGGACAAAAATCGTACACCTATGGGTGAGGATAATTGGGGGAGGTTAAGGGCAGAGGGTGGGGTGAGATCCGGGTGGAGGGGAGCTATCGGGGAAGGAAAAGAGGAACAGAAATAATAACTTTCACTGGGAGGGGACATGCGCGGTTGGCCTGCATGCCTGCTAGTCGAACTCCTGGTCCAGGAGTCTATTTGCATATTATTCTTTTATTAGATAGGATATACACTAAGTGGCCAAATTATTTTGTGTTCACAGGTCATAATAATCTGGCCACTCAGCTCTGTGTGTGTGTGTGTGTGTGTGTGTGTGTGTGTGTGTGTGTGTGTGTATCTCCATGAAAAATCCTGAAATTAGGACTTTTACCTCTGCCAGTAAAAGATTATTTGTTATGCCACAATATCAGCCATTTATTGTTGTTGTTTACCTTGAAAAATTCACATTCCAGTATAAAAACTCCTGTTGTAAAGCAATTTGGGGGTTAAATTTTACAGTCTTTAAATGATGACATTAACCAAGTCTTACCATATACCCATCGGTATAGGAGAATAAAGGCTAAATCATAGACTTCAAGTTTGTATCCTCTTTGCTGCTTAACTGTATGATCCACAGGCAAATTATTTACCCTCTCTTTACCTCATATTTCCCCATTTGTAAAATATAGATGGATATTACCTCTCCTATGGGATTATAGTAGGATTAAATGAGGTAAAGCATGTAGCACAGTACATGGTACATAGGCTCAATAAAAATGATCTAAAATCAAAGCCTGTGAAGCAGCAAGAAAATGGATGAAAGTTCCAAAGGTTTAAACTAGTATACATCTCTTTGTTCAACAGCTATTATTTGGTCCAGAACCAATCAGGAAAATGTTTCTTTTTTTTAAATATATTTTTTATTTCAAAGAGGAAGGAAGAGGAATAGAGAGATAGAAACATCAATGATGAGAGAGAATCATTGGCCCATTGATTGGCTGCCTCCTGCATACCCCCAACTGGGCAGGTCTGCAACCTGGGCATGTGCCTTGAACGGGACTCAAACCATGACCTTCTAGTTCATAGGTTGTTCAACCACTGACCCACTGTGGCCTGGCAATTCTTTTCTTTTTTTAATCTTGTTTCCTTTCTTTTGCCTCTTAAAGCAAAGCTAACTCTTCTTCAAACCTGGGAAATGCTCACCTCACCAAACTTAGCATGGTAATAGTAGTTGTCAGCCTGGAATACTGTTGCTTCCCTAGGCCCCACTTTGGGGTATTCTTAGAATTTTACAGGAGGGGGCAGGATGCTAAAGATCTCATGACACATGGAACAGGCTTGCATGATGGAGAATTGTGTTCCAGACTATCACATTAACAGCATACCATTAAGACACACTAGACAAGACTAATACCATACTATCTATAAGCTTCTCTTTCGAACACATTATGGGTGTCACAGATCCAGCAACTATGTCAATGAATAAAGCAAGGCCAGGCCTCAGTGCCTGAGACACTGTAGACACTAGGCAAGATGGATATTATATATCCTTTCTAAAATAGGGAGTGAC